AAGGAATCCTCACAAACAAAAACATCGCTTATTATTAATACTTGAATTAATATAATATATTGTATTCAAAGGCGCAGGAAATATATATTATTATTAATCGCCATAACATTAGAGACTAAAACTCTATTAAAAGTATTATTTATTTTGATTGTACTGTTAATAAAATAATACTTATTCTCTGTACTTAACACAAGTGGAGCGCCAGTAGTACGTGAAAAAACACATCCATACGCTTTATGCCATCCATACCTCCCCGAGTGTCTGAGTTCATAGCGTATTTTAAGCTGCCTGTCCGCTGATCCACTGAGTGTGTTAGTGATGTGCACTTTTGCTCCCGTTGTCTGTCTGTCTATTCTCTTATAACCTTATCATTCATTTAGTGCTAAGATTTCTCTATTATTTTGTTGTGTCTCTAGTTTTTCTCGCATCCCTTCTCTCATATATTACTTGATTTCAGATTCCGTTTAAACATATTTCCAGAATCTCTCTCTCTCTCTCTCTCTCTCTCTCTCTCTCTCATTATTCTCTGTCTCTAAACATATTCTACTTCAGAATTTTCATCCAATCTTTTGGTCATCCATTCAAACAGTATTCAAAAGGCATTCATATATATTGAAAGTTTGCGACTCGACTGCACACATACTGTTTGCAGCGATGTGTCGGTGCCTATGTGCATGGCGTTCATTAAAAAGTACTCGGTAATCTCAGCATCCCTAATGTAAATGCCAATAATGTTGAGTCCAAACACACGATCAATGAAAATGCTATTTGGACGACAGGGCACCGGCAGTCAATACAGTACTTTGTTTTTCATTCACATTCAACTGCCCTTTTATTCCTATCTGTCTTTGGCTATACATTCATGTCATTAAATATATTCTCGCTATATATCTGTACACTTGCATACAATATAGCCATAGACTACTGCCCGGTGCTAGATATGGTCAATGCATACACTGTGTGTATGTGTAATGGTCTCAATGGACACATTCACCATACATATGATGGCAAACCTTTGTTTTTTATAGACATAAACACTGGTATATATATAAATATCAGTGTAAATACAGGTAATTCTGGGGGTGATTCACACCATTAAAACCAAGTCTAAAACGCAAACACATATCATATTATTTGTCGAAATTTACGAAAACAAGTCGTAAAAATAAATTTTCAAATAAATATATTTTATTATTAAATGCTTTCGGAAGATATAAATATTGTTTTTTCTTTGTACTGAAAATACGGCAAAACAATAAAATAATAATAAATTTTTTCAAACCATAAATCCTGTTTCAAAAAATATTTATATCAATATTTTAAAACTTACTTTATTTGTTATTTATCAGATTCAGTTTAAAATATTGTGATATTAGTTATTATTAAATTGTTTAAATATTAAATTATAATTTATATACATTGTATATTATTGTTATTTAACTGTATAAAAAATATTTATATTCAATTAACACCAAACATGTTTATCATGAGATAACTAGTATAAATATTTTTATTTATAACTACTTATCATTAAAATCTATTAAGCCATATGATATCATAAAAATACGAGTGTTTATGTCGAGAATGTTATCAGCAAGTACAAACGAGTTAAACACCATTAGGCATTAGAATACTAAGCAATTAGAGTATTGGGATAAATGGCTTTTTCCACATCAATATTTGTATGGATATAATTGAAATTTATGGCCAAAAGTGTGCCCTAAGTGTCAATGTATTGAATTGCAATCCCGTATTGAATGTGCTGTCAATATAAGAGTGCGAGAATTCTCGCAGAATAATACACAACACTTATATATACACACAGAATATTCTCTCATCTATTCTATAGACACACAAACATATAGAATATATTCATTACTCACACATATATATACAATATATTCTGATAGCAAAAGTACAACAAATATAATGTGATGTGAATATTCCCAACAGATTTACTTTTCCATCACAAATGTGTTATCATATGATTGCCATTAAGTATTATATTTCATTGAGATCGGCACAAAAGCTACCAGTGCTCCTACAGTGCACATATGTATGTTTACCTGAAACTTGACCTTTCCATCGATTGAGACTACCAGCCCCCGTCAGTCTCACTGGTATATATATATCATGAATTATCCAGTCACAAATGACCGAGTTTACTATTTCAATATATAATTCAAATTTGCGATGCCCTATTATTTTATTTAAATTATCTAATAATCCCTAAATTATATGCTTTTTCTTGTTTTATACGTATGTCTCGAGAGATGCAATCGATGCGGACATAAAAAACACAAATTTTCAGAGACTTTATAAATAATGATGAGATGTGTGTTGTTGTGATATAAATATCACTCAACTGTGCACTCAATAGCTATATTTGTGTGTGTATTGTGAAGTAATTTATATGAAATTTCGTTATATATTTCTCAATGTCAGGCCAATGTGTCCGAGCATTCATCCAAATCCCAGTCGTGCCATAAGACTAGTCCAGTGTCTGCCCTATCCCTATGTGTATGTGTTTAGACACTGAGCATATTTGACACATAAATAAAATCGCGAATTGTATTATGAAAATAGTTGTTGTGTTTGAATGGACGGACATAACACATAAAAATAGCTAAACTTAGTTTGAGTTTGACTTTTCATTTGCCATACGAGCGACGACAACACGACTGGCCAAACAGGCCATACATATCAACTGCGAGAGAGAGAGAGAGAGAGAGAGAGAGATGTTAAGCGCGAATAAAAAATATATTATATATAATGATAAAAGTGCGAAAAAATGTGTTATATTTGCTATTTTGATGAAAAAAATGCTAAACAGTAATATTCGTTATGTAATAGTGTAGGCACTGGAGGGACAGGCGTTTTGTCTCGCATGAATCGCTTGTCAAATATTGAGATATGCAGTAATATTTGTCCGAAACGACTACTTTTATTATAACTTTGTTTTCCGTTGTGTTTAACGCAAACACAAATACACGGACTCTGGGTGTGAGTGATGGGTGCGAGTGGTTGTCAGTCATTGTGCACAGGGATGTTGGACTACCAGCGCTTGACACTTAATCTGCGCATAGAGTGGCAAATGCCTGTTCAAAATCACGCATACAAATAGATCATTATATAGTGTGCAAGAAATTGCAATATAATTAAATATATAGTAGACTATAGACAGAGATTGTGAACAAAACAAAACAAAATATAGTTATTTATATTTATCGATAAATCTTTACCCAAAAAAATGTCTTTGATTTACAAAAATAAATAAAAATTAGAGAAATATTATATATTATTTTTTTGCTACTATTTTGTGTCACAAAAATACAGAGTAAATGAGTGGACCAGTGGTGTGGGGAGTCTATGGCCTCTCTCTACTACTGCTGGTAAATGGATGGCAAGTGTGTGGCAATCAATGCCTGTGTTCTAACTGCTATCCACTGTATATACCATACAATGGATATATGAGTTAGTTTTCAGGGAGCAGATGGACGTCACATTAGTTGCAGGCAAGACATCAGTCTCTCATTTAGGGCTTTTCGCTACACTCTCGGCAATCATGGGCTCTCTCTCTCCCTGTGCTCATACAGCTCACTGTCTGTCCTTATATTGTCTGTAATATATATTTCCCTAATACTGGAAATATAGTCGGAGAGAGAGAGAGAGAGAGACTAAATGGACTAATACTAGAGCTGACCATTCATTTCAATTCAATTTTAAAATAAAAACTTTTTTTTGTAGCTCTCTCTCTCTCTCTCTCTCTCTCTCGCAAAGGTTTGTTGTTTCAAAACTTTGTACTCTAATATCGGAGTCTAGAAAATTCATTTTAAATTTTTTATTTCACCCAAAACTTTTAAAATGTGACCAAAAAAGGGCAAAATTTTCATTAATATTTTCACTGAACTCTACGATTAATCTTGTTATGAATTTTGGCCGCATTTTCATGAAGTAAAAACATTTTAGAATCCATTATAACGTATAATATAAAGGACTAAAAGTCAAAACCATTTCGTGTATTGTGCAGACGATTGTCACAAATGGATAAAAATCAAAACACAGAATAAGTATTAGTCGTTAGGAATAAGAATTAGCGGAATAACAGAATTGAATATACAGTATATATATATATATATACAGAAAATATATTAGAAATTTTTTATATACTATTCTTATGATCGCCAAAAAAGTCGCTTATATTGTAATACAAGTAAAATAGACTCACAATATATGCCATACAATACGCTATATTAGGCGAACGCCTATTCCCTGTTTGGAAAGGGATCGCCAAAACCTATTAATGATCTAAATATCAAACGCATTGTGGAGTCCATAGTATCATCTCATCAATGATTGACCGCTATATACGGCACACAATTCACTCGCATATAATATACAGCCAGCACAACCCAGTGCTATAGTAAAGGGATTAAGCTTTTTATTGAATGACCCGCCGATATATGGTTTGCATTATAACACAGGGTATGCCATCATTACTATTCTCTCAATCTGTGGCATACGTTTACAGCATCGGTGATGATGTCGGTGCCGGACTCAGAGAGAGAGAGAGAGAGAGAGACTGCGAGAGAGTAGGCACTGACCATACGATTTATGACACAAACATATAGCACTCATACAGACATTGAGACACAAAGATTATTGCATACAGGATATGAAAGGCAATATTTTTCACTACGCTATACACTACCACTCCATTCACTATATAATCCCCCATCAAAACTCTTATACACTATATTTATATATATAAATATATAACTGCATATATATTCTGCTGGAACTGTATTTTCATTATATTCTTGAATGTCTTTTATTTAGCATTTCTATACATTTTTGCCACTTTTTTGAGCCTTATTTGTGGCTTATATTCAGAATATTATAGAATATATTCAAAAATATTCTGGTAAATATTTATAAAAATTCTAGTTTATTATTATTACGATATTAAAAAATATTTACAATACATGTGAGATAAAAACGTGTGCCTTATCTATAAAAATCGTATGAGACTTATCTGAACAAAATTTCTAATCAATTCCTGTTTGAGTCACATATTTATGGAAAATATTTTCGCCATTGATTTCAATGCGATTCCTCATATCATTCATACAAGCGTTTCATTGATTGCATAGATATATCTGAGTCTCATCTCCAGTTCCCAACTGCCAGTGATTTCTCGTATTCAGTATTATTAGCGCTTCAGTTCATTATAATTGGAAGTGTAGTGCCTTTGAGGTGGGGGCTGGTAGTGTCTGTACAGTAATTTTAAACTACACTAGACTGGGATCACAGAGCGCCGGCAGCTCTGAATATAGCGATCCTTAACTGACCGAACCTCAGGTCAATCCATCCGTTTTCGGTGGCGATCAGCGCTTCTCCACAGTGAACGGACTGTGCGATTGTGTGCCACTTATGGCCAGTCGTGTCGCCACTACTACTGGTGTTAAACTGTTGGCTCAAGAAGTGTGTGATCTGTTCGTACGAATCGTATGTCAGAATCGCTTCTTTCGATTTGTTGATGGCTTTGAGCCGTTGTGTCGATGAGACGGAACAGTAGGTGATCTCCGGGTAACAGATTCGGTTTCGCGCCGATGATAGCACTTCACTGATGTGGTCCTGAAATGATAGCTGAGTTTAGCTGAGAGAGAGAGAGAGAGAGAGAGAGAGGAATTGTGTTGTGAGAGAGAAAAGGGAAGAGAATGCGAATAACAGACATAAACGGCTGACTATTATATCAATTATAGTCTCTGAGAGTCAATGACGAGAGGAATCAAAACAAACAACAAATAAAGTTATGATAAAAGCCATGAAAAGAGAGTCAATGAATGAGTGAAAGAGTAAGAGGGAAAAGGAGAGAGAGAGAGAGAGAAAGAAAGTGAGAGTAAAGGAGAGTATGAGAAGAGAAAGAGAGTGAACTCACAGACAGAGTGTCGGACGCATTGAACTCATTCCTCCTGTCCTTCAACGTCTTGATCTCAGTCTTGAGTTTAAGTATTTCGCGCTTCAATTGTGACATCTCTTCGGCGAGCGTTTCGTTCAATCGCTTCAAACTATTCACACAATTATGGCTCACGAGTGGCGGCACCGGTATCTCATAATCCGGCGCTGCGTCCATACGCTCAGCCATACGTAGGCCGCAGTCGGGGCACTGTCTGCACGGATTACACGGACAACTGTCCGCATGGGAGTCCAGACACTGTAACTCGAGCACCGCGTCGCATCCCTGGGCGTAGAAATGGCACTGAATGTGCAGTTTTGCCAACAGATTAGTGACTAATCTCTGCGGATCGTATAATTGGGACGCAATTAATCCGCGCCTGTCGTTAGGGCACGTGTTTGTATTGGCCAACCAGCGGCTGATACACTCGCGACAGTACGTGTGCCGACAACAGGGAACGACAGTCGGCTCGCGAAATATCTGTAGGCATATACCGCACGTGAACTCATCGGCCTCTCTCTGGGACAGGCCTACGAACCGGCGTATGTCATACCCGGGCATCCAATTGTTGGTTGAATATTAATTGACTTTTATTTTTGTTTTGCGGTTATATAAGTGAGTGATTGACTTATTGACACAATTTGTGAGTTTGAATACACAAATACGGTTCATGTAAACTAGGCTTTCATTTATATACTCCTTTTCCAACAACTTTCTCATACCATTGATAACATGTTTACACCGTTTTTATCGGCGCTTATCTATCACTCGCTCTGAATGAGCCCTTAATTTCTCATCAAAACATGAAAAATAAAATATACTATTAATATAATATATCGTAGGATATTATATGTGAAATTGAATAATATTTATCAACAAATTGATTAGTGATAACCGTATTGCACAACAGTTTTATGTCTATTAAATTAGTTATACGGTATTAGGCGTTAATAAGTTTTTTACTTTTTTATATCAAATATTTATTTTAGAGATTAGTTGAAAGAAATCGTTAATTGTAATCACATTATCATCACATGATAGTTAACACGGCTATCAAATCACTGAAATGATTAAAATGTTTGACTGAGAAATTGATTTTTATGCGGTGTTTGTTGCTAAGGAAAGGCTGTTTTAAAATTAGACATACTTTTAGTGCAATTGTATTACAATTATATTTAAAAACCCTATTATCTATTCATGTATATTTTTTGTTTTAAATAAGTAATTATCAAAATTATCCCGACACCATAATTGAGATATTAACGTCACCGTGGTAATTAAAATACAATTACGTACATAAAACAAACAAAAGTGTAAAATTGCAAACTATTTTAAGGCTATTGTCTACATATCCATACATCTACGTTAAAATTTTAACTAAATTACACTCAAATACACAGCTATTATATACCATTTAGCGATCAATTACTGTAGCATTTGATTGGGAAATCACATGCAATTTAAGTGTGCGGATCATGTCATGACTAAAACACCAAATGATTTCATACATCGGAATATGAATTGAAAAAAACTAACTTAAAAAACATGTCATCAAAAACAGTGCATACCCTACCAATTAAAGCCCTTCCCATTTATGTGATACGGCTATATATGCGTTGGGTTAATAAACCGATAATATCTCACCGAGATAATATACACTACAGTTGTAAAGTGTACTCAAATATGTACTGTATAGTGTGAGCACCGGTAGTTTTCTGGCCTCTGCCGGTGCACAAGTCCTTGATGTTCAGCTATAGCTCAATGCAAATAGTGATGAAAAATTGAATACACTTATAATATCTTATTTCTATACAAATATATAATTAATACACTTTTTGTCCAAACAATTAATACATGAATAAAAAATTAATCTTTAAGAGCATTTTTAGTGCGAATAGGGGGTCAGACATGAGGTCAACCATTCATTTGATAATATCTTTATCGATAATATATTTTATATATTGTTTTTTCGTGGGACAATAAAATCCATATTTGAATTTAATGTGTGTAATAAATATGGGTTTTTAAGAGTTATAAATATTATGCGATATATATTTCTATTAGTAATTTATATTATGGACATAAATGCTATCTTACACTACAGTACAGACCAGTATTTTTATTAAATACACAAAACAAAGTAGTAATAATAATAATGTTATTAATGTAATAGTGTTTAGTATTAATATAATACATATAATATATTGGTATTATATTTTTATCTCTGAATTTTTTTCAGAGAGAGAGAGAGAGAGAGAGAGAGAGACGTCGAGAGAGCATAGCTGATGCCCTCTGAGACAATGATGATTATTATAAGTATATGTAATAATAATATTAATATACTAATATTACAAAAATTGTGTATATTCCTACCCCCAATTGGATGGTTAGCCTACCCTCTACAGTACTAACTCATCCATTTACTTATGATGTATAACATAACAGAGTTTATATGATGTCTGAAGTTTTTTCTCGTTGTTTAGTGTATATCTCTATGGCTGTGGTGTATGTGTTGGGCAGTAGAAGTGGTTATACCCACCAGAATATTATTGACTGCATGTATGAATAAAAAGTCATTAATATTAGTATTTTATGGGCGAATACATAAATAAATTACATTTAATAGCATTAACATCTCATTTAGACATACGGTTTGACCCCATATTCCAGTGATTCTGTAAATATTATATCATATGATATATACTTATAAATGAGTGGTAATGATGAGCCCAAACACATACATACATTGCAGTCACGCAATCAACACAACATACACGACACTTCTCGACATTATATCCCGGTGCCCACTAGTGGTCAGTCACGTGGGAGGTGGTGACCACCCGGATGTATTATACTACATGACCATCTTATGTTTAAAATAACAAACTTATTACTTATTATAAATGAAATTAATTTCATACATTCATGTAAAATGTGAAAAACAAAATGTCTTTTAATTATAATCTGTTAAATGATTAACATTTATTTGTATATAAATTCTACCATAACATGACCAAGAATTATAATTATTTGCATAAAATGACCACAATTATTTAATATTTATAACTCATTTTCATAATTTATCAATTTAGCTAATGTTTAACCTGGTTAAGTGCACGGGTCACTGATTTTGGTGACCTCATGACCTATGTTTGAATTATTGTTAAATATTAGTTAATATATTTTGTGCACTACCTTAATTAACCAGGTGATATATTAAGACCCCTTACGGTGTATTACGCTGGTCAACCACCTTGCTTACTTATATGGCGCGAAATTATAATCTATGATTACATTTCATGTGTGCATTGAGTCTCCGTTGCCAACCATATAATAAACATTTTCCCCTTATTTACTCATTT